CGGCCCCACCTCCTCCCCCGGTTCCCCCCACCACAGAGGAACCCGCTCTCCCATTGTCACCCGAGCTGATCACGTACCACCGGCGGCCCATTCCCCCGCCCAAGCCTCCTAAGTCAACCCCTCCGACACCGCCTGCCCCACCCTCCTCTCCGGTGGCTCATGGCACTCGTTCGCATCGCGCTGCTCTTCCACTCGCGCTGGTTCTTCGATACACGGCGATCACACCGCCTCCTCCTGCTGGGGGGATGTGCCCTCTACCCTTCTGGAAGACAGGCATGAGGAGCTGTGTGATCTTCATGCAGTCATTCCTCAGCTCTCGCACATCTTCCCCGACATCACTGACTCACCCTCCCTCAACTTCGCGGAGAACCCGACCATCCCTATCCCTCTCACCGTCCAAGAGGCTCTCTCAAGCCCTCATGTTGCCGAATGGCGTGCTGCCATGGAAGCGGAGATTGCAGCATTCACCCGCAACCACTCCTTCGACGACGAGACTCCACCTCCAGGAGTCAACATCGTCGGGGGCAAGTGGTTGTTCCGTGTAGCACAGCTCCCAGACGAGGCCCCAGTGTTCAAAGCGTGTTACGTAGCCAAGGGCTTCACCCAGCAGCAGTATCGCGACTTCTTCCTAACCTTCTCCCCCACATCCAAACCTCCCACCATTCGTACGCTCATGGATGTCGTAGCTCGAGAAGACTTTGAGATCAAATCCATGGATGCCTCATCCGCCTTCCTACAAGAACGTCTCGAGGAGACAGTGTTCATGGACAGACCAGAAGGCTTCCCAGGAGAATTCCCTCCCAACACTGTCTGGAAGCTGAATCGCCCCGTCTACGGCCATAAGCAAGCCCCTCGCGAATGGCACAACAAGGTGAAAGAAGTCCTCCTCTCCCTGGACTTCCACCCTTCCACTGCTGACCCGACTCTCTTCATCCGCCGTCATTCTCAGCCATTCTACATCCTGGTCTACGTAGATGATTTCATCCTCGTTGCCAAGGACTCAGCCCAGATGACCTCTGTCCAGACAGCCCTGAGCAAGACCCTCCAGATGAAAGACCTCGGTGACCTCAAGCACTACCTGGGGATGGAGATCACTCGTGATCGCCAGACTCGCACCATCTCACTCTCCCAGGAGTTCTACATCGACAATGTGCTCAATCGGTTTGAGATGGAGCTGTGCACATCTGTTGCCACCCCGCTGCCGCTGCAACACCTCCTTACAGCCCCAGCTGTACCCACACCAGAGGCCTGCTCTGAGCCATACCCGGAGCTTGTTGGGTCCCTCATGTACGCCATGATGTGCACCCGACCGGACTTGGCCTATCCTGTCAGTGTCCTCTCTCGCTACGTGGCCCCTGGACGCTTCACTGATCTTCACTGGAAGGCGGCGAAACGGGTGCTGCGCTATCTTCAGGGCACCAAGTCTCACGTTCTCACACTCGGTGGGCTCTCCCCTCCTCGCCTGGAAGGTTACACCGACTCCTCCTGGGCTGATGACCAGACCGACCGACGCTCCTCTCAGGGGTACTGCTTCACCCTTGGGAGCGGAATTGTCAGTCGGCGCTCGACCAGGTCGTCTGCAGTCTCCCTCTCCTCCTGTGAGGCAGAGCTCTACGCTGGCACCATGGCTGCTCAGGAGGCCCGTTGGCTCACCTTCATACTCCAGGAGCTTGGTTTCCCACAGTCCGCCCCCACCCTCTGGTGCACACACACACACCAGTGCAAGTCAACACACACCAGTGCAAGTCAACACACACCAGTGCAAGTCAACTCACACATCAGTGCAAGTCAACACACACCAGTGCAAGTCAACTCACACACCAGTGCAAGTCAACTCACACATCAGTGCAAGCCAACACACAAACCAGTGCAAGTCAACACACACCAGTGCAAGTCAACACACACCAGTGCAAGTCAACACACACCAGTGCAAGTCAACTCACACATAAGTGCAAGTCAACACACATCAGTGCAAGTCAACACACACCAGTGCAAGTCAACTCACGCATCAGTGCAAGTCAACACACACCAGTGCAAGTCAACTCACACACCAGTGCAAGTCAACTCACACATCAGTGCAAGTCAACACACACACCAGTGCAAGTCAACACACACATCAGTGCAAGTCAAGACACACCAGTGCAAGTCAACACACACATCAGTGCAAGTCAACACACACCAGTGCAAGTCAACACACACATCAGTGCAAGTCAACACACACCAGCGCAAGTCAACTCACACACCAGTGCAAGTCAACACACACATCAGTGCAAGTCAGCACACACCAGCGCAAGTCAACACGCACCAGTGCAAGTCAACACGCACCAGTGCAAGTCAACACACACCAGTGCAAGTCAACACGCACCAGTGCAAGTCAACACACACCAGTGCAAGTCAACAAACACCAGTGCAAGTCAACACACACATCAGTGCAAGTCAACACACACATCAGTGCAAGTCAACACACATATCAGTGCAAGTCAACACACACATGAGTGCAAGTCAACACACATGTCAGTGCAAGTCAACACACACATCAGTGCAAGTCAACACACACACCAGTGCAAGTCAACACACACACCAGTGCAAGTCAACACACACACCAGTGCAAGTTAACACACACCAGTGCAAGTCAACACGCACCAGTGCAAGTCAACACACACCAGTGCAAGTCAACACACGCCAGTGCAAGTCAACACACACACCAGTGCAAGTCAACACACACATCAGTGCAAGTCAACACACACCAGTGCAAGTCAACTCACACATCAGTGCAAGTCAACACACACCAGTGCAAGTCAACTCACACATCAGTGCAAGTCAACACACACCAGTGCAAGTCAACTCACACATCAGTGCAAGTCAACACACACCAGTGCAAGTCAACTCACACATCAGTGCAAGTCAACACACACCAGTGCAAGTCAACTCACACATCAGTGCAAGTCAACACACACCAGTGCAAGTCAACTCACACATCAGTGCAAGTCAACACACACCAGTGCAAGTCACACACCTTGCTTGCGCTCACTGCAACGCCTGAGACTGTTCCTCCGTGCATCTTGAAGGCCACCTGGTGAGGCATCAAGGGAGAAGGCATGACAGGTAAGGGGAGGAATGGTAATGGTAAGGCGTCAAAGAAATAGAGCACGACAGGGTTGTCTGGGCAACTCGTGAATTGGCATTTCATCTGACAGGTCCATGCATGGCTGGGGTCCATGCATGGCTGGGGTCCATGCATGGCTGGGGTCCATGCATGGCTGGGGTCCATGCATGGCTGGGGTCCATGCATGGCTGGGGTCCATGCATGGCTGGGGTCCATGCATGGCTGGGGTCCATGCATGGCTGGGGTCCATGCATGGCTGGGGTCCATGCATGGCTGGGGTCCATGCATGGCTGGGGTCCATGCATGGCTGGGGTCCATGCATGGCTGGGGTCCATGCATGGCTGGGGTCCATGCATGGCTGGGGTCCATGCATGGCTGGGGTCCATGCATGGCTGGGGTCCATGCATGGCTGGGGTCCATGCATGGCTGGGGTCCATGCATGGCTGGGGTCCATGCATGGCTGGGGTCCATGCATGGCTGGGGTCCATGCATGGCTGGTGTCGATGCATGGCTGGGGTAGATGCATGGCTGGGGTCGATGCATGGCTGGGGTAGATGCATGGCTGGGGTAGATGCATGGCTGGGGTAGATGCATGGCTGGGGTAGATGCATGGCTGGGGTCGATGCATGGCTGGGGTCGATGCATGGCTGGGGTAGATGCATGGCTGGGGTGGAAATGAGATGGTTGGCAATGTGGGTGTGCAGTGGTATGGCGTGGCGGTCTAAATTGCCAAATATGCTTAAAACACTTCGCCTTTAGTGGATGTACGCTGGCTTTTACACACTACACGGCGCAAGCAAATACGCTATAAGCAATCGGAAAACAAAATAGGCTGCCCGAGAAAAGAAAACACGAATTAGATGGGGATTTTCTTGGTGAGCATTTTGCGGAAGTCGAATGCAACTCCGTGGTCCAGGCAAGCGGGGATATGACCTCAGATTTTCCAGGCACATCTGGCAAAGCGAAAGTTGAATTTCAAATGTACACATTGTAACCCATCCCATCTACCGCATTGAACCCCATCTCATCTACAAACTTCAACTTGTAAAAATCGGAGGTGGGGAATGGTAGCGGGTGGGGGGTGGGGTGGGGAATGGGCGTGAGACATGTGTAATAAGCACCATCAAGCCATGCAATCTAATGCATCACACTTGTTACTGCTCGTATGTCACTAACACCTACCTCTGCCACTCTCAAACACTGATCATATCATATCATATCATATCATATCATACTAAATCATATCAAATCATACCATAACATAACATAACATACCTTACCATATCAAATCATATCATACCACTCCCTAGCTTTCCTGACATGCATAACCTGGTAGCATGCAACTTCATGATAGCATGCCGAATTCCTCCGCATACAACATTGACGATGCCTCATTATATTACGATGCCACATCAAGAAGTATGATGTCACATCATTGAAGCAACAAGTAACATAGCGGCATACCACCACCAACAGAGCATGGAACATGATGATAGAACGCACCTTGGCATAATCAAACGCATCTCGACAAAACGGGTCATCCCAACCAGACCCCCTCACACCGCGCACAACCCCTCCCTCCTCCACCCCCACTCCCTCATCCTCCTCCTCCACCCCTTCGTCCGCAACCCCCTTCCTCTCCCCCTCCTTCTCCCCTTCTCCCCCTTCCCCTGTCGGATGGAAAAACACCGACCCGGAAAAGGAAACTTCCAGCGTCTTTCCCGAGTATCCCCGTGCAAAGATCCGCCACTCAATTAAGTGTTCGGTGTGGGTAACTACCCCCAAAGACGGGGGCGCAGCAGAGACCGTCAGAATGCGGCGCCGTGGGAAGGGCATGTGCAGGGTGCATTGCTCCATGTTACAGGGCGGCTTGTACCCATCCATTATCCGGAGCTTAAGTAAGAACTGGGACTCGGTGGGAGAAACGAATTGGTTCTGGTAAAAGCCGATGACGGGAGGGGTTCGCATGGAGGCTAGAAGGCGGGCGAGAGAGGTGGGGGCAGTTGGGGGTTTGGGGGAGAAGAAGGACGAGGAGAGGAAGGAGGGGGTGGAGGGAGGGGCGGAGGGGGTGGTGGGGGAGGGAGGAACCCGTTGCTGCTGCATCTGTGCTTGCTGCTGCTGCTGCTGCTGCTGCTGCTGCTGCTGCTGCTGCTGCTGCTGCTGCTGCTGCTGCTGCTGCTGCTGCTGCTGCTGCTGCTGCTGCTGCTGCTGCTGCTGCTGCTGCTGCTGCTGCTGCTGCTGCTGCTGCTGCTGCTGCTGCTGCTGCTGCTGCTGCTGCTGCTGCTGCTGCTGCTGCTGCTGCTGCTGCTGCTGCTGCTGCTGCTGCTGCTGCTGCTGCTGCTGCTGCTGCTGCTGTTGTTGCTGTTGCAGTTTCTGTTGCAATTGCTCCGGGGTGGTGGGCAGGCAGCAGTGGTAGTTGACCAGGTCGAATGCCCCCAGAGGCGGGCTGAATGAGACTGTGTGCTGATGGGAGAGCTGTGAGAGGTAGAATCAGAGGACAATGAGGAAAGGGAGGGGAGAAAAGGGGAGAGCGGAGGAGGGAGAGAGCAAGGGATTGAAGGCCCTGGCGGCAGGCAGAAGAAGACAGTGTGCCAGTTAAAGAGCTCTTAAAAAGGTTCAAACAAGGGAAGTGGCAGCGATTGTTGGGAGAAGTTGAACACGCCAAAAAAAAAAAAAACACGGATATTTCTACCTGCGAATGTACATGAATTTTCACCTGAAAATTCACCTGACGTGAGAACCAGCAAAAGGCATCACCTGAGCGCATGGATGCACAACAAGGGACTCCACACACGCGTCTTCTGGCACATCCAATGAGAGCGTGACATCTGGCAGACCCTCCACCTCCCACCGTGTGGTAACCCTACCGGTTACACTCACCACATCTGCCACCTCCCCCTCCCTGTCATACAGAGCTACACTCACTTCTTCTACAACTGCTACGGATACCCTCTGTTTTCCGGTGTAAAGCACTGGTTTCCCCACCGGCTGCCTAAAAGTGTCTCTTAGAGAGTCTACTGACACGCCTAAAGTTCCGCCGAGGCCTTTAAGTGCCGCCTCTGCTCCATCTGCTCTTCCTGCCTGCTGCTGCTGCTGCTGCTGCTTCGGGTGTGGTTGGTTGGTGGTTTTGCTCGAAAGGAGAGAGGCGGAGGGGGGGGAAGGCGGTTGCAGGTAGGGTGAGAGGTCCTGGGAGTAGGCCGCAGGTTGGGTGCGGAGGGTGGTGATGGTGGCAGGGGTGGGGAAGTCGATGGGTCGACCTGCAAGCAAGCAAGGCCATGTTTTAGGAAGAGTGGGGGTGGATAAAGGGAGGATAATGGGGTCTGATTTACAAGGAGAATTGCTCTGAATAGCTCCCCATCACTAATTCAGCCGCAGCTCTACCCCTCCCCCCACCCAAACCATCCTTTCCACTTCCCAAACCCTCACTTCAATGGCATTAGTTCAATATTCAGAACCAGCAGAAAGCGCATGTCTTACCAAAGGGGAGGTACGTTGAGATGAGAAGCCTGATTCCCTCCAACTCAGCCGCTTTCAGCTGCTGCACCATCACCCCACCTCCTCCCCCACCACCCTGCCTCCCCACATCCCCTCCTCCCGAACCTCCGGCCATGCCTGGCGCCGAACCAAGCTGGCTGGTTTGGGCGGTCTTGGCTCGGGACATTCCCATACTGGCCCCTATCGCCCCCAGCAACCCAAACCCTAAGCCGCTCCCTCCTGCTGCTGCCCCTCCCTTTCCTCCTCCCGCTCCTCCACTCCCCATTTCCCCTCCAGAAGCAGCGGCAGCAGCGGCAGCAGCAGCAGCGGCAGTGCTAGTACTGCTGCCAATGGTGCTGGTGCCTAAAGCACCAGCCTTCACACCAACACCCACCCCTCCCATCCCTCCTCCTCCTCCGCCTCCTCCCCCTCCAGTGAGGGAGATAGAGGGGAGGGTGGGGGAGGGGGCGGAGGGGGCGGAGAGGAGGGGGGAGGTGCGAGGGGGCACGGTGGGAGTGGCAGATGAGTCTGTTGAGATGAGGGACTCGATGCACTGAGCAAGCGAGATGGCCCTGAGGGAAGGGAGAGCGGGAGTGAAGGGGGAGGCAGCAAGGGTGAGAAGACGCGTTGAGAGCAGAGGAGGAAGGCACGGTAGGGGTGGCGGTAGAATCAGTAGAGAGGAGGGACTCGATGGTCTACAGAGCAAGGGATATGGTTCTGGGGGTGGGAGAGGGCTAGGGAGGGCGAGGAGTCGAGAAAGAAGGCATGCAAGACAACAAAGGTTTTGCACTGTAAGGTGGAATGGAAGGGTAACCTGCAAGCAAGCAGCACAGAGACTTGCAAGTTGCAATCGAATGACTCACTCACGCTGTCACAGCAGGTAGGTCAGCAAGCAGAGCAGACAGCGTGAATGCACTGGCACCACTTGCACCAGTACCACCGCCCCCAGAACCAACCATCCCTCCCTCTGCTGTCCCCCCTCTTTCTCCCCCTCCCCCTCCCCCATGCGCCAACCCCGCCCCTCCCCCGCAGTTGCGCTGCCAGCACAGCCTCTCATAGGCTGCCACATGGCAGGGCGCCACCAATGGGAGCACGAGAACGTGCACATTGGAGGCCTTGGAATGGGGGTGCACTATGATTGGCCAGAGGAGTGTGGGTGCGGAGGGAGGTGGGGGGGGAGGGGGAGGGGAAGAGGGGGTGGAGGGGGAGGCGGGGGGTGCTGGCTGGTCTGTTACTGTCTCTGGAGTTTGTTCAGATGTTTTTCCAGGTGTTTCTTCAGGTGTGTCTTTAGCGAGTCGAGATTCTGTTGGATCTGCTTCTGAAGTTGCTGCTGCTGCACATGTTCCTGTCTCGGTTGGGCTGCCGCCATTCCCCCCTGCCTTCCGAGCCAAAGCATCTCCTCGCGACCCTTCATCCGCTTCTACTGCACGTGCTCCTGCTGCTGCTGCTGCTCCCCCTTTTCCCTCTTCCCCTCTTCCACCCTTCCCTCCCTCTACGCCCCCTTTTCCCCGAGGCTTCAACGATTCTTTAGCCTGGGTGGTGCTGGTGTGAGTGCGCGAGTGGGAGGCGGGGAGCATAGGAGTGGTGCTGACGAGGCGCAGCCCGATGACGTGGCGTATGATGGGGTCGTCCAGCCACTCATCTGTGCCGATGACAGATGTCGCGCTGCGAATGGCTGGAGAGGATACGAGGCTGATGGGGAGGAGAGGGAGCGAAAATGGGAGAATAAGGAAATAGGGAGGGAAGAGAGCAGAGACGGAGGAAATGACGAAGAGGGATATGGGAATAGAGATGGGACAGGGGGCAGCGGGACGGAGGCTTATTTCATTGCTTATTTCATTGCCACACAATACGTCACCCAATGTGTACTGAAGGCAATTCACAACAAGCACAGTCACACCGCCTATTGCTGCTCTCATCACCATACATCTCACCGCTGCATGTGTTGTGCAAACGCAATGCTGATCTCGTCATCCAGAGGAATCGGCCGGTACGTCACCGGGGGAGGCGCCTTCCCAGGCTTGCCCTGCCCTCGTGAAACGGAAGATGAGCCCTGGTGGTGGGGATGTGCACGTTGGGGGGTTAGATGAGCCCTGGTGGTGGGGATGTGCACGTTGGGGGGTTAGATGAGCCCTGGTGGTGGGGATGTGCACGTTGGGGGGTTAGATGAGCCCTGGTGGTGGGGATGTGCACGTTGGGGGGTTAGATGAGCCCTGGTGGTGGGGATGTGCACGTTGGGGGGTTAGATGAGCCCTGGTGGTGGGGATGTGCACGTTGGGGGGTTAGATGAGCCCTGGTGGTGGGGATGTGCACGTTGGGGGGTTAGATGAGCCCTGGTGGTGGGGATGTGCACGTTGGGGGGTTAGATGAGCCCTGGTGGTGGGGATGTGCACGTTGGGGGGTTAGATGAGCCCTGGTGGTGGGGATGTGCACGTTGGGGGGTTAGATGAGCCCTGGTGGTGGGGATGTGCACGTTGGGGGGTTAGATGAGCCCTGGTGGTGGGGATGTGCACGTTGGGGGGTTAGATGAGCCCTGGTGGTGGGGATGTGCACGTTGGGGGGTTAGATGAGCCCTGGTGGTGGGGATGTGCACGTTGGGGGGTTAGATGAGCCCTGGTGGTGGGGATGTGCACGTTGGGGGGTTAGATGAGCCCTGGTGGTGGGGATGTGCACGTTGGGGGGTTAGATGAGCCCTGGTGGTGGGGATGTGCACGTTGGGGGGTTAGATGAGCCCTGGTGGTGGGGATGTGCACGTTGGGGGGTTAGATGAGCCCTGGTGGTGGGGATGTGCACGTTGGGGGGTTAGATGAGCCCTGGTGGTGGGGATTTGCAGGTTGGGGGGTTAGATGAGCCCTGGTGGTGGGGATGTGCACGTTGGGGGGTTAGATGAGCCCTGGTGGTGGGGATGTGCACGTTGGGGGGTTAGATGAGCCCTGGTGGTGGGGATGTGCACGTTGGGGGGTTAGATGAGCCCTGGTGGTGGGGATTTGAAGGTTGGGGGGTTAGATGAGCCCTGGTGGTGGGGATTTGCAGGTTGGGGGGTTAGATGAGCCCTGGTGGTGGGGATTTGCAGGTTGGGGGGTTAGATGAGCCCTGGTGGTGGGGATTTGAAGGTTGGGGGGTTAGATGAGCCCTGGTGGTGGGGATTTGAAGGTTGGGGGGTTAGATGAGCCCTGGTGGTGGGAATTTGAAGGTTGGGGGGTTAGATGAGCCCTGGTGGTGGGAATTTGAAGGTTGGGGGGTTAGATGAACCCTGGTGGTGGGAATTTGAAGGTTGGGGGGTTAGATGAGCCCTGGTGGTGGGAATTTGAAGGTTGGGGGGTTAGATGAGCCCTGGTGGTGGGAATTTGAAGGTTGGGGGGTTAGATGAGCCCTGGTGGTGGGAATTTGAAGGTTGGGGGGTTAGATGAGCCCTGGTGGTGGGAATTTGAAGGTTGGGGGGTTAGATGAGCCCTGGTGGTGGGAATTTGAAGGTTGGGGGGTTAGATGAGCCCTGGTGGTGGGAATTTGAAGGTTGGGGGGTTAGATGAGCCCTGGTGGTGGGAATTTGAAGGTTGGGGGGTTAGATGAGCCCTGGTGGTGGGAATTTGAAGGTTGGGGGGTTAGATGAGCCCTGGTGGTGGGAATTTGAAGGTTGGGGGGTTAGATGAGCCCTGGTGGTGGGAATTTGAAGGTTGGGGGGTTAGATGAGCCCTGGTGGTGGGAATTTGAAGGTTGGGGGGTTAGATGAGCCCTGGTGGCGGGAATTTGAAGGTTGGGGGGTTAGATGAGCCCTGGTGGTGGGAATTTGAAGGTTGGGGGGTTAGGAGAGTGTAGGGACGGAGAGACGGGAAGGGGAGGGGGGGGGGGGGGGAGGGAAGCGGGGGGAGGGAGCCTAGCCACACCAGCACTGTTAGTGCTGCAACCTGTGGTACTGCTATGTATTATATCAGCAACAGACGAAGCACCGGAGTAGCAAGGAAGGTGCCGTGTTTACATGCAGTTGAAAACTGGCGCACTCTCTCACAGCAGCATGGCGTGCTTGTGACTTTTATATTGTTCTAATGCTGTTTGAATGCTGTTCGAATGCTGTTCCATGCTGACTTCGCACTGAACCCAGAAGTCAACTTGTGGTGACATTTTTCATACGGTTGCATTGCTACTCTCCATGTCACAAAGCAGAAGCAGGAAGAATGTTAAGAGAGGTGAATGTGAAAAGGCACACACAGAGAGAATCCCCTCTTAGTCAGGGGACCAATGAGGCCCTGGCCGCGGACGAGCTAGGCATGCAGGGACCCTTCGCCCCTCTTAGTGAGGGGCAGCTGCACCAGCTGATTGAGCCCCCGTTCGACCAGTAGGGTCGGACAGAAGGGGGCGGAGTGGGTGGGAGATTTGTGGTAGGTAGGATACCGGTTTGCTAGTTTGTTTAGCATGTGTTTGCATCTTCCTTTGTACCAGACCTTAATCAATGCAAGGACTATTCGAGAGAATCCCCAGTGGCTGTGAATACTTTGGAGGCGCCTCAAAAGAGAATTCCCAGTGGCTGGGCCAAATATGCCAGCGTGCCTCACTGTTGCGACTATATCGTGTACTGCAAACACAGTGTTGTTGCTTACTGTAGAGAAGCTGTAGTACTAGTTTGTAATGATATGCATGTTCTACTGTACAGCCACTGTGGTGACTGATTCGGTTCGGCTGAAAAGTCACCTCAGGAGCCACCGTACCACTTACTGTAGCATGTTCTGCAGAAGCAGGTGACGTGGCACAGAGCAGGCGCCACTGGCGGTCCACTGTCGGGAATCGGCTGTGGATCGACACGTCACACGTGAAAAGACGGAACCACGTCAGCAGATGGGCAGTTGAGAAGAAGAGGGATTGCAGGTGGTGACGTAAACCAGACATGAGCAATGGTCCGGGCCAGCCCACGGCCTGACACGTGCTCATGCCTGACACGTGCTCATGCCTTAAAAAAACGGGCGTGACGAAAGAAGCGACCACTCCACGAGAAGACTGATATGCTGAAGCTGGAACCTCCAACACTAAGCACCACGTGTTCAAATTCCTGCCACGTGGCGAGTCGCGAGTCACTCACCGTGAGAAGAGGATGCTGCAGGTTGGGTCGGAGGGAGCAGCCGCCGACCCGCCGTACGCTTGGTGGTGAGCCACCACCCACACGGCCCGGATGGCGCAATCTCCGCCGTTCATTTTCCGCTCTCGGCTTCGGGATGCGGCGTTAAAGATGGATCTCGGAACTAATAGTTCCTAGCCTACTCGGATGGATCACGTTTCTGACGTGTGCTGCTTTCGCTAGAGAGGGATAGACCACTGTCTGACGTGTGCTTCCTTCGCAACCATCGGAAGAAGGCTCGAGCGTCGTGGAAAATCGAGTCGACGAGTAGCTGCTGCTCAGTCGTCTAGCGACGTCAATGGTCGGCCATGCGTCGAGATTGGTCGTTTATGCGACGAGAATGGTCGCCCACGCGACGATAATGCTGCCAGACGGCTCGGAAATCTCGTGAATCTGGCTTTGACGGACGGCTAGAATCTTGCAATGATCACACTCGGCAATCACTCGCACATTTTGAAAAATTTCGCGCTGAATGCGTCAGTAACGAATCCTCGATACAAGCCACGGAATAAGGACACTAATAGAGATTATTTTGCCGCTAAAAGGCGAAGCGAAAAAATATGCGGAGTTCGAAGCGCTTTCCTCGCGCAAAAGGCGAGAGGAAGAAATATGCGGCTTGTACAAGCTCACCACAGAAAAAGAGGAAACTTGCTGTGGAGAACATAACGGTGAAGTCAATAGGGAGTGCATACATTTCACCCTTCTGCTTGAGCAGGCAGTAACGAGTCACACTGACGAAGTTACACCGCCTGACGAAAACTTCACAGTGACGATTCGCGATATGCGTTGGGCGTGCTCTCAACTCGGATTCTCCTAGCGGGTCTGGGCGCGTTACAGTCAGGAGTGCAAATTATTTGACGCAGGTTCAAGTTGTATCTCGAGGCTGTACTAAGGGCGCGTAACCATTTTGCACCCGACGGTTCGAACCGTGGACCGTCCAGGTAGCGAAACGGTAACAAGCTTCGCAAAATTTCGTAATCATGTTCGCTGAGGTGTTGGCGACATCGCCAACAAAACGGACTGTAGTGACACTTTTTCCCACTTCAACGGTCCGAAATCTGAACCGTGGACGGTCCGAATCCCAAACGGACTGTCCGACAGTCCTTGCACACGATTGGAGGGCGACGCAAAAACTGTCAAGTCACCTCGTCCACCAACAAAAACGTACGAGGCTACTTCACGAATCGACATCGACCAACCAGAGACAACCCATAAACAAAAATGATTCGATAACGACATTCGCGAGTTTAAAAGAACTGCGTAACGCTTTCGCAGTGATCGCGAAACTGTACATTATGAAAAAAGTGTCACAACTGTCTTCGGACAGTCCGAAGTTGCAAAAAAGTCAGTCGGACGGTCCCGTTCTCGATAGGTGGACCGTCCACTTCGTTTTAAGCGGACTGTCCGTCAAAATCGCAAAATGCAAAATGGTTACGCGCCCTAAAACCCGAAGCTTGAAGGAACTGCCCCTTCCCTCCGCTGCTCTCGCTTGGGCATGAACTTGTCGTTGACGAAGAAAAGGAGCCACGGTCCTCTGGTTGTTGGTTGGTCGGCGGCGGGGTTGGTTGGTTGGTGAAAAATGACTCGAGGTGTACTGTACAGCGTACAGCGCTAAGTGTAAACTCAAAGACGGCCTAAAGCCGTGTCGCTCGCCTGCTACTAACTGAAGGGCAGTCGTTTTGATATTGCGTCCTTTTGCAGACCACTGGCGCCGCTAACAAGGCTTCAGCTGCGTTAGAAGATTAACGGTAGGCGCTGGGCTTAGCGCGTTCAGCATGAAACTTCCCTCCGAGGCAGCGGTCGCGTTTGTAACAAGTGTAACCAAGTGTAACACGTCTGGTCTGCGCCAGCGGTGTACTAGAAACTCTGGTGAAGGCTCAGTTGTACGTCAGGCAGTCTAGAGTCGAGGTGCACTATGGCGGGTACAATGAAGCGAACGCGGAAGCTGCAGATTAGCTGCGGGGACGAGGAGGACGATTCGTTTCCCAGCCATGGGCTATGGGAGATAAGGAATGCTGACGTGGACAGCGGCTCGACGATAGAGTCCAAGCCAGGCGGTGCTACTGGTAGTGGTAGCGGAGCTGCGCGGTCTAGTTTAGAGACGTCCTTAGTAAGAGAAAGCTCAGTGATTCCTACTCCTAGCACCACCACCACCGTAACGACAAGCATTGCCGACTTTAACTCGTCGGGATATGGCGATTCGGTATCTTCCGCTTGGGACCACATTTTAGGAAGCGACGCGACTCCCACCGGAAGCGGCGGTCGCGGCTTGCATGATTCCCCTCTCACTCCCACCCCGCCAACTCCGATACACGACAAAATCCTCCAGTCCACGTCGATCGAGATCGGCCACGTCGGCACGCTGACGTGGCGCCAGCTGGCGGTTGACCGCGATTTGAGGCTGATTTCCTGGTGGCACCACGTGCCGCTTTACAGCCGCGACGGGCTGCTTAATTTCGTCTGCGCGACGCCTAGAGGCTCGTGGATTAAGTACGAGGTAGCTCAGAACGAGGAGTTCACCCCGCTTCGAATTTCCCAGTTTCCTTCCACGAACGGTTACTCGAAGCCGGCGCATTTCGCGGAGAACGCGACGCGGTTCACCCTAGGTTTTCTCCCGCAGACGTACGCGGACCCCGCGCAGCCCAACCCCGACTATGGCGGCCTCGCGTACCAAGGCGGTCCGATGGACGCCTTGCTGCTGGATCTTAATGACGCGTCGCGAGCCGGGTTCGCCTCGTCGGTTAGTCTGTCTAATAGTATGCTGCCGTCCCGCGATTTGCGGACAGGGGATGTGTGTCAGGTGAGAGTAGTCGGCGCGTTCGCGGTCGTACAGCAGAAGAGCCGCCTTTCCTGGAAGCTTCTTGCCATTCCCGCGGCGCCGGCTAGCAGTAGTCGAGGTGGCGGTGTCGGTGAGGATGACGTGGCTGATCGGATCAGTGACGTGGCAGACGTGCATGCGCTGTTCCCGGGCCTGCTGGACGACATTCGCGAATGGCTGCGATTCTGCGACTGCGTTGATCCAGGTAAGTCAACGACGTGAGGCCGTATAAATAGATATCCGCCGTATCTGGGTTTTATGTTACTGGATTCCTGTCCCCTCTCTCCCCCTGTCGCTTGCTCACTCGCCCACCGCCGCGTCCCCTCCCTTTTCCTCACTTGTTTTTCCCCTGCCCCGCACGTTGTCTCGCCGCTACAAGGGGGGAACGTGCTGGCTCAACTAGGGAACCTCTTCCCCTTTTATTGCATGGATCGCTCTCCCTTCTTCTCTGAATCTATCCACTTATGTACTTTAGGCACCCGATTACGAGTATTGCTTGCCGATTGGACGAGTAAATCTTAGCAAGCCAGGGCGAGATTTAACCTGGTTTCCTGTTGAAAAGAGGGGAAAATCAACCACCCCCTTGTCACAAGAGCGCATTGAAGTAGAATTGGCGGATATGCGCACTTACCGACCTTTGGATATCGCTACAATCATTCAGTCACTAGGATCCATTACTAGCAGGCTTTCCGATTATTTAGGCCTATACAGAAAGTGAATAGTGCTTCCTTTTCTCGTTTAGTGATTGCTAAGTGTCACCCCATTTCTTAGGCCTTTCTTTTCTGGCACGACCATTATCTTATATTTCATTACAATAAATGGAAATAAAGTTATTTCCGTTATCTCTGTTAGAACGGCAATAGAGTTATTTCCATTGTTTTCCGTTATCAACTTATATTGCGTGTGTAACCTACTTTGAAATCTTTGGGATAAGACTGATGTAGCGTACCTAATTCAATAGCAGCATTAGGTGTAATGAATCTTTCTTCTAAAAAGCTTATTGAATCTCCAGGTGCCTTGATTTCCCCCACCCCCCGACCCCTTTCCTCTCTCCTCCGCTACAGACGATGAGGAGAACGAGTTCGGGCTCAACCAAAGGGCCGGCGCTGCTGACGTGGCGCTGGCAATCATTGCGCAGGCTCATGCTTCCTGGCAGCTTCTCACGGACGACAGCCCGCCGCCCTCCCCCTGGAGCCCCGCCAACCTCGTGCTCTCGGCGCGTGTTCTCCAGGAAAAATGGCGGAAATACACTGATCAGTATTATAACGAGGCAGATAGTAAAGGAGATCGGAAGAGTGGCAGCTGGGAGGGTGAGAGGGGGGGAAGGGCGTTCAGTGTGGGGAGCTTGGGAAGCTGGCAGGGGGGAGGTGGGAGTGGGAGTTTGAGTGGTGGTGGTGCTGCTGCTGCTCCTCCACTTAACCTCCCGTTTGTTCCATTCAGCGATCCCACCACCTCGAGGGCTGAAAGGAGGTTCGACAGGGCGTGGGAGGAGACAAGCAGAGCAGGCTCGTTTGCTGGCAGCAGCACCCGCTCGTTTTTGCATGCCGCCACTGCTGCTGCTGCAAATGGTGATGCTGATGGGAGTGGTGTTGGAAACGGCTTGCGGTTTGGCGGCTCTTATAAGGATTCTCGGGTCAGCTCTTACGGAGGATCGTCCGAAGGGCCTACTATGGTAGGGGGGGAGCTGAGGACTTGCAAGTCAGGCCCCATGGTAGTGCGGTTTGGAGTGGTGGAGCGGGAGGAGAGGGAAGAGGGGAGTAATTGGGGTAGGGAAATGGAGGGAAATCAGGAGGAAGAGGAGGAGGGGCACGGTAGCAGGTCGTACAGGTCGGTAGAGTGCGGTGGAATGCAGTCTGGTGCGGTCCAAACAAGCACTGGTGCGTTGAAATCAGCAGCTGGGGGGACAGCAGCAGCTGTGGCACCAGCAGCAGGGGCACCAGCAGCAGGGGTGGTGGCGGTAGCAACGGCAGGTTCTATTCGTCGGTGCTGTTCTGCATTCGACTCACCTGGCCTCTCGGACCAATCACCAAGCGTGCCAGAGGCACCATATGACACGTCACATGGACCGACATTTGGCAGCAGCACTGCATTTGCGGCTGCTGGTGATGGTGGGTGGAGGATGAAGGCTCGTCGCAAGTCGGGGTCATGGGATTTCGGCAACATGACTGTTGGAGGGGTGTGGATACCCGACGCTCTAGCAGCGCGTAACAGCGTTACCACTGATAACACAGTAACATCTCTTGCCACTGCTGCGTTCGCTGACACTTCCGCCCCTGATGAAAATCTCATTGCCACTGTAGCAGAGGTGACTAACGGTAACCGTGTAACACTAGCAGGTAACAAGGCACAAGCCACAGAGCACAGCAGAGGCTTCCCTCTCTTTAGACACAGCAGCTTGAACCGCGCCTTACTTAACGATCACAGGACAGCATTGGCCAGGCTCGGCGCGCTCTGGGGCACGGGAGGAGGCTCGGACCGACCTCCTCCAGAACCTGACACGCAGGTTCGGGAATCCTCCAAGCCTGATGGCGAGGTTCGGGGATCTTCCAAGCCTGACGGGGCGGTTCGGGCAGTGCAGCGGCGGTGGGGAGGTTGGAGGTACGGGCCTATGGGGGGGCGAATGGGTGAGCGTGAAGGGAGTGAAGGTGGAGCAGGTGGGACAGCTGCAGCAACAGCTCTAGCAGCAGGACCAAGAGCAACAAGAGCAGCTTCGGCAGCAGCGCCGGCAACTGCAGCAGCAAGAGCAAGAGCAGCAGCAGCAGCAGCAGCAGGCGGGGCAATAAGATCAGGGGAAGTGAGTGTAACGCCAAGACCCCTCACAGCTGAAAGTCCCTCCGTGGGAGGTGGTGGTATTGGTGGTGGCAGGAGGAGGAGGGGGACACAGGGCACCAACAACTGGCCATCCCTCTCCTCATCCTCGTTTGGAGACGCCTCAATAGCAGACACACTCGATCTCGCATCGCCGCGCACCAGCCTGAGTGACGCCTGGGATCAGGCCCTCGTCTCCTCTCTCGATGATGACGCGTCTCTGCTTTCCCTGCCACCCGTCCTCGCTTCTTTGTGGGATACTGCAGGCGCAGTTGCCACTGGTGCTATTGCTGGGTCAGTGAGGGGCGGGGAACAGCAGGGCGGAAGTGGTGGGGCGTGTGTAGCATTGCAGACGAGGGAGATTCTGGCGTTCTCTCACAGGCTTGTTGCTGGGGTGGAGGCCGCTGCCGCTGCTGCTGCCGTGGTCGCAGAAAGGGTAGGCGAAGCAGCAGCGACAACAGGGGGGGGAGGAGCAGCAGGATCAGCAGCAGCAGCAGCAGCCAAGGCTGAGCAGGAGGGTGTATGCAGCATTGGCAACGGAAGGCAACAGATAAAAACAGTTGATTCAGGGTTAGGGAGTGGAGGAGAGGCTGGTGGGGCATGCAGCAGGGTTTGGGCCCCCTTGGAGTGTAATGCTTCTGCTGCAAGGATGGACCCGTGTGACTGTAGGCTGGGTGACAGTAGTGGGATGCAGGGCAGCAGCAGGAGTTTAGGAGCACGGCCCGTCACAGCAGCATCGTCTATAGCATCAGTAGCTTCAACCTCTTCTGTGGTCACGGCCGCTGCTTGCCATGGTACGGGCATGGAATCACCAAAAGCAGAGATGAGAGGGATGGGAGAGGACGGAACGGGAGTGGGAGAGATCTCATTGGGCATCTCCCTTCCAACTACCCCGTCTCTCCCGTCCTCCCTTCCCTCCCCCACCTCCACCGTTTCCTCTGCCACCATCAGCATCCCCCGAACCTACAGCAGCTCTGGGTATGGGTTGAGCCCGCCGAACCTAAGAGGGCAGGTGCGGAGTGAGGTGCTACAGTTGCCAGCATGGGTGGATGAGAGATTAGGAGCAAGAGGGAATGGAGAGGGTTCGGGGATGGGGAGAGCGTGGAGGAGTGAGGAGTTGGATGTGAGTGGGAAAGAGAGGGAGTGTGCAATTCGGAGGATTGGAAGCTTGGGGGAAGGTAGTGCGGTTGGGAGCGGTATTAGTGGTTATGGTACGCGGGAGTCCTCATGTATTAGTGATGTGGATGGAGCCTTGCATTCCAAGCCTTTTAACTGGAACGAGATAACTCTATATGGAGGAAACTCGGGCAGGAGAAATTTCAATAAGAGTAGTGAACTGGGGAGTAGTAGTGAGCAGGAGAGGGAGGGGGAGCGAGAGAGAGAAAGGCAGAGAGAGAGGGAGAGGGAGAGGGAAAGGGAGAAGGAGAGGATGAGGGAGAGAGAGAAGAAGGCAGAGAGGGAGAGAGCAAGGCATAGGAGCATGGGAAGTACTGTCAGCACGTCAAGCATAGCAGCTAGCATTGATGCTTGCGAGGTGTCAAGCATGCAAGCCGAAGCTGGTAGGAGCCCCAGTACCAGCCCTGCCAGCAGCCCGGGTAGCAGCCTGGGTGCCAGCCCCGATGGTAGTCCTCGAACGATTTCCAGAAACAGCCACGGCCACCGCAGCAGCATTGGCAGCATGGGGAGCTTGCACGGCCACTGCAGCAGCAGTAGTAGCATTGGCAGGGTGAGTAGCATGGGAGATCTGACTACGATGGTTGTTGATGCCGATGGAAATGCGGATGGAGGTGACTCTATTGCTTCTAGTGACGGGAGGGAGGGAAGGTGGAGAATGGGCGGACTAAGAGGAGGAAAGAGGGGCTCGGGAGGAGGAGAAAGGTTGTGGAGGGTAAGTGGAGGGGAGGAGGAGCAGGGGGAGGGGGATGGTGGATACACGAGTGAGACTGGCAGCTCTAGAAGCAGCTTCGGGTACCGCCGGTTCGGACGATCCTCTTGGTCCAAACCAAACCTATCTCTTCCGAAGCTGTCAACGGCATTACTGTCTTCAGATTCCAAAGGGGGCGACCATCTAACACCCAGACCTAAGCCTGTTCGCTCTGCCAAGCCTAATTCCGGACCTGCTACCTCCGAGCCTAGTGCTGAGCCAAGCTCGCAGAAACGGCAGCACCAGCATTCGATGTTCGCACTGCTAGGTCCGGTAAGAAGCTTGGAATCATGGGCCCGAAGCTCAAGTCCAGGTACGGTGAGGTATTACCAGGGACGAGGGAGGGAATCAAGTGGGGATTGGAGCGAGGGGGAAGGTAAAGGCGAGGAGCATGGGAGGACGAAGGATGGAGAGGCACGAGGAAGCAGGAAGGCGGTGTTTAGGAGGGAACGGGAAGCGATAAAAGGTGAAGATAGGGGAGGGGAGGAGGCAAGAGAGAGAAGAGGAGCGTTGTTGCCGCCGCTTTCTGCTGCTCCCCTATCCAGGACTGCCTCTGCACCCATCCACTCACACTCACTCACACTGAACCCCACACTGACCCACACACTAACACTCCCACCCACACTCACCCCTATTTCCACTGACCAAAGGCACCAGACATCTATGTCTGTTCACTCATTGAAGTCTTCTGCACACCATCTTTCCTTCAACGAGGCAGCTTATACTAAGGCTCTGGACGGGGATCAATTCTCGACACCTGCTTATAAAGGAGATGCCACTCACGGGGATAATTGCGGTGGTTTAGGCCGGGGGAACGGGGAAGGTGTGGGGGAGAAGAGAGGGGTCCCAAGGGGTGGGCTGAAGCAGTCCTTGAGCTGGGAGGAAAGAGGAGGGAGCAAAGCCGTTTCGATTTCTCATCCCCTTTTGAAGGTGTTTCAATCAGAGTTGCAGGGTGCAGAAGGGACAGAGTCGGAAGGGGAGGAGAGGAGGGAGCAAGCATGGGAGAGGAAGAGGGAGGAGGAGAGGGAGAGGGAGTGGGAGAGGGAGAAGGAGCGGTTTGTGGTCGGGAGTGTGAGTTTCAGGGAGGCAGCAAGGAAGGAGGAGAGGGGTAGTGAGAGTAAAGGAGTTATGGACAAAGAGGATGGAGGTGTAATGGCGACTGGCGGTTGTGTGGGTGGTAGTGCACAGGAGGAACGGTCTAGGAAGATGAAGAGGCAGGTGTCATTCAATTCGGTTGTGAAGGTCTATGAATATGACAATGTGCAGTAATTGTTGATGTACCACCACCACCATGTGAAGTACTATGACTCTGCAGTTGACACCTTTCAAGCAGACAGATGTCCCAGATTCGCAAGAAGAGCAGGATACCTGCATTGTTCCCTTACATTGTTCTGCTTGTTGCTTTGAACAGCTTTAAAACCTGACAAAACAAAATACAGTTGAACATCTTATCAGATCAAGAAGTTGAAACAATATAGGTGTTACCATAAGCTTACCTCTGATCCCATGCTCACGGCAGAATAAGTGATTACGGGCCTTTATGATGATATATCATCATTAATATGAAGCTGGTGCAGACCAGGGCCTCAGATTCGTTTTGGCCTAGGCTGAATAGTCAGCCTTGGGAGTGGGATGAAGGCTGATCAATCAGGGTAGCCTTGAAAAAAAAAGCTGAAATTTCAGTGCTTAGTTTCAAAAATTGGCTGATCATTCAGCCTTGCTTAAAAACAAAGGCTGAACACAACTTCAAGCTTTCCTATAGCGCAACACGCGACGTGCTGCCAACAGTGCACACGACGTGCCTACACAACTTCACACACGAAAATACAGTACCTTCTATTGGCAACAACATGGGCGAATCCGAGCTAATTTCCAGTGATTGGGCGAATTTCTGGAAGAACGTGTTGTGTCAGAGCAAAAATTCTTGTGATTGGGCGAAATTGTTGTGGCTCTGACGGGGCGAATCTGTTCTGTAGGGGCAAATTTGCTGTCTCGGGGCGAATCTGTAGTGACGAGTCAAGCTGAAAGACTTGGTGCCATCTGATTGGCCAGGCAGGTTTTTGATTCTCGGCACTACACGAATCTCCACTAGTGGGATTTCAGCCCACACACCCGTTACAACGCTGATCTGTCAGTGTACACCTCTAAAAAAACTCTGAAATTTCAGACCATACAATGAAAAAAATGCTGAAAAATCAGCCGGTACAATGAAAAAAAAGCTGACAAATCAGCCCCACTTTCTTCCCAGCACTGAAATCTCAGCCTTTTTACCCCTAATCAGCCTTTTTTCGCTGACTTCTGAGGCCCTGGTGCAGACTGTTGCATACGAATTCCAGAACTGATTTGGATTTAGACTCTCCTATCCCATCTGATGATCAACACATTGATCACACTCAGGCCCTCAGATTGGTTTCAGGGCATGCTGATCGATCAGTGTGCAGTGTCCAAAGTGGTGTCCAAATCAGCCTGGGGGGTTAAATTTATGCTGATTTTTGTTGGAAACAATAAGTCCTAGGTGCGCTTCTGTCGTATCAAAATCCAAGGCACCAAGCGAAGCAGTCCCAATCGAAGCATCGAGTCAACCTCGGAGGTTAGGGTAACCGCCTGGAGGTTACGAGAAAGTCAAAGGTCGCTGACCTTTGACTCGACAATTACAGCGCGACAGTTAAGGACACACAACTGACTCGTTACAGAGCAGTTGCCCGAGTCGCACTATATCGAACCGCAACAGCAATACAGTTATCTATCTATCTATTCGTATTCCCTGTACTCTTATATAAATCCTTGTATTTGCTTGTTTAATTTAATCTACTTTGCTCTCACACACCAGTGCAAGGTCGGTTCACAATCCTCATTAAAACGCTTCCGCTATTACAAGTTTCTACCCAAGAGTTCTCCTCTGCAAAGATCCTAAGGGCTATTTTTCAGCCCAACATGGTATGAGAGCGGACAGGGGAAAACTCTAACTCTTTTCAAAATCATTTCAAGACATGGCAACAAACAAGGAAAGGAGCTCTCCTAATGACTCCTCGGGCACTATTCCTACTCCACCACCAGCCTCTGGCCTGCAGACAGAGGAAGGCACGGCAGCAAGACCAAGGGGAACTTCAACCGAGACTCCTACGAACCATCCTTCTGACTTCGACCAGAACATGATGGAGAAATTCTTCTCCTTCATGTCCTTCTACGAGCAACACCAGCAGTTGGGATCTGCACAGACACACAACAGCAACAACGGAGCGGCACCCATGAGCCTTGACGGGTCGTCATACGCGCGAGGGAATCAACAGCAGCAACCCACCTTCGCCCCGTACGAACGCGGGTCGATCAGCTTCCTGCCTCAACCTCCACCTGCGCAAGACAAACCAATGGATGCCTTACAAGTACAGTCGCAGTTCGCGCATGTTCTGAAACTACAGACGTCAAGACCTTTCGACGGAAAGGACTTCTTTACCTGGTCCTTTGAATTCGAGTTGATGATGGAGGGCGCGCAGATACTCGGCTTCTTCGACGGATCCCTGCAGTATCCAGCAAACGGGACACAGTATGAAAAGCAGTAGTATACGTATCAATCCATGATGGCGTATACTATTCTACTGAGAAACATCACACCAACCCAGCAGCAGAACATTCGCTCTTACCGGAACTTCGGCAACTCGGCGGAACTCGCGTACGGCCATCTGAAGAACCTGTACCAGGCAACAGACAGTGTAAACCAGAGCATGTTAATGGCGCAGCTGACAACAGTTGAAATGAAACCAGGAGAAAAAGGGTTGGCGTATATCAGCCGATGTCGCGAATTGCGCGACAAGCTTCTTCGATGTGGAGGGTCAATCTCTGAAGACGCCTTCGTAACAGTCGTCATCGGTGGCCTCGGTCCTCAGTGGCGCGCCACCAAAGCAATTCTTCGAGCACACGGGAGGATCTCCGAAGCGGCACTTTGCGCAGAAATTCACGCCGAGCAGCAGGATATGGACCTGCAAGAAGAAAGACACAAGAAAAGGACATTAGCACCGGAGTTTGCTTTCCATACTCAGCGACGACACAACAACTACAACAATTGACAGCAGCAGCCGAAGCTATTACCTCCATTTTGTCACATCTGCAAGACATCAGGACACCCACGCACGCACTGCCCGTCTCGACAGACAACACCACAGCGACAACTGCGGCCTTCAAGCACCCAAGTTGCTTCGACACAAGCAAGCTCGACAACCACGATTCAAGCTTCAACGACCTCAACTGGACAACCTGCACAAGGAGCAAGACATATAGTCAACTGCATGGTCAAGATAAACGACTCTTGCATAACAGAGTCACCACCCCATTACTCACCGGAAGAGGAGCTCGACAACAGGACGCCTCGTCGCGAATCACTCCATCCAAATCCGACTTACGCCGCTATCGCTCAAAGTGAACCGTCCGGCCAAGACACCTGGTTCTTGGACAGTTGCTGCGGGCAACACATGTGCTCGTCCGGGCGTTTCGTACAACGCGAACATCGACTCCAACGGGAAGTGATCATCACGGTTGCCAACAACCAAAACCTGCGCACACGAAGACAAGGAGTGGTACAGCTTCAGTCAAGAGAAACAAATGTCTTACTGCACATGTCTAAGGTACTCATCGCTGAAGGACTCGGCTACAACTTACTGAGCATTAGCCAGTTGATGGCGAAAGGAATTCATCTGGAAGCCGACAGCACGACCCGGGAGTTCAAGCTTTACCACGGGAGAGGCGGTCTCTACATCGGGAAAGCAGTGCTGAAGAACAACGTCTTCGTCCTCGACTTCGCTCCCGACCTCGGCACTGCAGACAGCGACGCCATTGTGAACTTTGCTGATTGGACACACCCTCCGGATCTTGACCCCGACTTCAGCCCGGGAGGTTTCTGGTACTCCCACACTATCCCTGAAGCAGAACGAACAAGAGCGTTAGCAACGATTCAACAAGAAGCAGAGACGACAACATCGGCAGCAGCGACAACATCAGCAGAGACGACAACATCGGCAGCAGCGACAACATCGGCAGCAGCGACAACATCGGCAGCAGCAACAACATCGGCAGCAGCAACAACATCAGCAGCAGCAGGAACAACGACACCAGTCACAGTCGACAAAGCACCACCAACACCCGCGCAACAGCTGAATCCGACTCAACGTGAAGTCCACCGAAGCGCCAACCTCGTCGCCAGCTTTTACTCCAACTCCGACGCATATCAGCGTTCACCCGGACACCGCGCCTCTGAAGAGATCTGGCACGCACGCACAGGACATCCAAGCAACACGGTTTTGAATAACACGATAAGAGCAGGAGTCCTTGACAAAGACTCTCTACTTCTACCCGATGGCAGAGAACTCCAGAAGGCACGAGGGACTTGCCTTATATGTCGCGAAGCTGACTTACCTTATCGACCGTTTGCTTCACATCACAACCCGAGCGCTCTAGCGTACGCACCACTCGAAAAAGTCTACAGCGACATCCTCTACAATCGCAAACCAGGACAAGTCAACTACAACTACACCATCACCTTCATCGACGCCGCCACTCGATACGTCTGGCATCGCAACCTACCCAGCCGCGACATGGCGCTCGCAGCATTCGCCGCATGGCTACCGATAGCAGAGAGAGAGTCTGGAACACAACTGAAAAGTTTCCAGTCAGACGGAGGTCACCTCTCAGCGCTTCAAGCAGTTCTTGGCGGAAAGGGGGATCAAGCAACTCCTCTCCCTTCCCTACGCACATCAGCAGCAAGGTGTTGCAGAACGACTGAACAGGACCCTGCAGAACAGCATGCGCAAACTGTTACGTGGCATGCGGCTACCCAACCACCAGTGGCCAGCAGCAATGGACCACGCTGTCATGCTGCACAACTTGTTGTCGTCGTCGTCACTCCCGAACAACGCATCACCGCATCTACTGTGGACAGGGAAGCAGGGCAGCACGAAAATGTTACGAGTTTTCGGGTGCATGGTACAGTACAGACCCCCAGAAGCACGAGCGGGAAGATTTTCGCAACGGGCACAGTGGGGACTACACCTCGGCATCGAGAAAAATTACAACGCATGGAGAATCTTCAACGTCCACACAAAGGAAACAGTAGCAGCACGTGACGTGATCTTCTACGAAAGACTCACCCTTCAGACGTACCTCGCCAACTTGCACGAGAATCGGGACCTCACCAGTGGTTTTCGTGGTGACCGAGCCTTCGCGTCAGCAGCGGACGAAGCAGACTGGGATGAACAGAACGTCGACAACGCCTCGGAAGA